CTTCGCGATTGAGTGATTTGCCCTGGCAGGGCTCCGAGGCTGCGATAGAGTACTTTTGCTGAAGGCGTCATTGGGCATTCTGACTTCATGTTCTGTTTTTCCTCTGTATGAACTCCAAAAGCATCCAAAGTACCTGAAAACAATCAAATATGCCATGCACATGCAATCCTAATGCAAAATCGTCCTAAGTATGTAAAACACACTAAAACGACTCCTAATGAGATGATTTGTGGATGAAACAATGACAAAGTGGTGAAGAATGAATGCCTAAATCATGCAAATTATAGACATATCAATGTGTGAGCCAATTATGATCTCTAGTTTTAATGTGTCAGTGCATTGTGATCTCTGGTTTAAATATGTGAGTGTCTTATGCATTTGATCTGTGTATTCTTGTCATGTCCTTGCAGGTTTACTCGTGACACATCTTTGAGGCTGGTTCGAAAGATTACTAGAGTATGGACAAACAAATTTGATGGTGTCTTCTATAGCTGGTCATGTGTTCCACGGGAACGATGAGAAAGATACTTCCTCGAGTTTGCGGTATAGTGTTTTTCTCTTGCATTCACTAAAATGTTTAGCTGTTAATTATCTTCAGTAAACACACCATTGGGATCCTTTGATTACAGGAACAGTTGAGTACTATTTTGAAGATATATGTTAAAGACGGATAAAAGATATTGCAAGTTTAGATGTTGTCTTAGTCCTTGTTCATTTTTAACATTGCAGGAAAAGGAATTAGGAAGGACAGTGGGTATTGGTAAGGTCTTTGTCAAGACGCATACAAAACCAGATGGCACTTATGTCAATAAGAAGGCTGAGAAGATTGCAAAGAACTATGAGCAGAAATTGCAGGTTAAAGTTTCTGAAATGGAGGCAGAGACTTCAAATGTTTCAGACGGGGAATCACGACCTCGGCAGCTCACAACAGATGACTGTACTCTCATATTCCTACAGGTAATGTTTACATTTTCATATTTATGGTCTCCATATTCTCATGCTCTTTAGTAATTGTTTGTCTCTTTCTTTTCACAGTCCATAGAGACAGATTCATGAGGAAATTATTATGGAGTGGGCAGTCTTCAGGAGCATCTTCCGGATCTAGTCACTGGAAAACGCAAACACTTAGGAAAATCTTCTTCTTTCGTGGCATTGCAAGTGCAACTGAACGAAGCTCAACAAAAACTTGAAGAGAAAGCTGCTCATAATGCAAAACGTGAGGAAGAGCAAACCAAGGGTGTAGTTGAAAAGTATTTGCGCCAAACTGATCCGACCTTTCTCCACTTCATCGAGTCTCATTCACCTGAATCAACTACAGAGCCTATCTCATCTCCAACTACTTCTTAAGTTACTTCTCCCTCTTTACAAACTAGCATGAACTTGTTGTCTTTTGAGAATTTAGTGTAAGTTGAATCTTGTATTTTGAGAATTTAGTGTAAGTTGAATTTTGTATTTTGGTAACAATATTAATGAATTTGGTGTTTGTTTGAATCATAAGTTTGGTTTTGAAATTTAGATAAGAATAGTTGTGAAAGCATTACAGGATTAAGCAATATAAATCAGAAATAAAATTGACATTTTTTTCTTTTGTCTGAAACCGTAGTCGTTACTCAGTCACATATTAGTCGTTAAATAGTCGCAGACTATCCCTACAATAATCGAAAGTTCATATAGTTTAATCGTAACTTAGTCGTAACATAGTCGTAACATATAGCGACTATTTTACGACTAATATTACGACTACGTGCGTTAGTCGTAACTTAGTCGTAAATTGGCGACTAAAATTACGACTATTGCGTTTAGCAACTGTGGATAGGCGACAACAGTGATTAGTTGTAAAACAGTCGTAATTTTATCGATTTACGACAACTTTGCGACTAAAATTGTAGTCATTATAAGTGTGTTTTCTTGTAGTAACCATATATGGTATCCATGAGTTATAACCATATATGGTATCCATGAGTTCAAATTCGATGCTAAGACATGATAATTGCAAGTCAAATTCAGGTTCAAAATTGATAGGGAATGGTATCAGATAATGACAGTATGATCGAGTAGAGCATTCAAGACATAATGCAATTTTACTTCAATTTTATTGACTACGTATCAGACAACTAGCAACGATGAACCAAAATGCTTACAAGGCTATCTCATCATAATCCCCAATGCATATGCGATAATCCTATATGAAACATCCTAAACTCAATCCTAAATGTGATGCAAACTAAATGAACACTGTGTTTTGGTGGAATACATTTTCAGAAAAAAATTCAATTTTTTTAGTTTTTTCTATGCCTTAAATGAATGCAGACTCAAGATTATAAACAATGCAACACATACTTCCTGAGCCCTCCCCCAAACTTAAATCACACAATCCTCTGTGTGACCAAATTTGGAAGAGAGTACTGAGGATAAAACACATAACAGAAACAAAATAAAAACAGGAGATGGTATAATACAATGGTGAAGTGATGAGCTTACCTCAGTTGAAGAAGGAGCAGAGTTGGTCGTCAATAGCTGCATGTGATTGCTCTTAGGCCAGAAACTCCCTGTTGTGTCTCATCTCCGCCCTGTGGGTACTCGACCTCATCTCCTTTGTGGCGGTCAGCACCGCCACGAGTATACTCGACCTCTCTTCTTCTGCTACGGCCAACACCGCTTTGTGGATACTCGACCTCTCTCTTATACTGCGGCTAGCACCGCGGTCGAGTGATCTCTCCTAGCGTGGAGAAGCCAAAACAAGGTCGAGTGTCTTTGATTGCTCTATGGTCGAGTGTACTGCTGTACCCTCAGAGCCAGAATCCACTTCGCTTAGCTCTTCATACTTATATCCTAAAAACACTAACAAAATGCATCAAAAACAACAAGGAAATATAAAGATATGTACAAAGATAGACTTGGGACTTCCTCCCAAGTGAGCTTGTTTTAAGTCTCTAGCTTGACTGCTCACACTTATTAAGCTTAAGAAGGGTGATAGAGAGGAATTGAGGTCTCCTCTTCTTCCATGTTAGATACAACATTGTATTCAGCATGCTCTCTTGACAGGTCTGTAGTTGAGTACTCAATGGCCCTTTCCTTGTAAGCTTCTTTTTCTTCTAGTGGGTAGTCTTCTTCTTCAAACCATTCAGAACCGAACGTTTTCCTTGGGATAGCTTCAATGCTAAGTTGAGGTTGAATAGCTTCTCTTTGCATCTGACTCACTTTATCCCTAAGTTCCTCCACAGTGTGGGCTAGCTTCCCTATAGTTTCTTCTTCCATATCAGACCTCTTTTTAAGCTCTTTTACTCTTTCTGTCTCATATCCTTCTCCTGAGATCTCTCTATCGTCCTCAGAGGTTTTTCCATCTTCTGTTGACCTTTGTGGAGTTTTGTTGATGTCAAATTGCAGCTTGATGTGCTTTCCAAGGTTGAGACTTATTTTCCCTTCCCTGACATCTATCACTACTCCCACTGAGGCTAAGAAAGGTCTTCTCAGGATTCGAGGATCCTTATGTTCTTCTTCCATATCCAGCACAACAAAGTCAGTAGGTACTTCTACTTCATTGATCATTATAGGCAGATCTTCGAACAGGCCAAAAGGTCTCCTTGAACTCTTATCACCAAGAATCAAGGTTAGGTCGCCCGAGTTATATTTGACAAATCCCAGCTTCCTTGCAACAGAAAGTGGCATTAGGCTGACTGAAGCTCCTAAATCACATAGGCAATTGCTGAAAGCTAGTTGCCTAATAAAGCATGGTAGAGTGAAAGATCTCGGATCTTCTAACTTTTCTTGAACAATCTTCTTCTGGATGATTGCACTACACTCGTGAGTTAACGCCATCGTTCCTAGAACTTCTCTGATCCTCTCTGTAATCATGTCCTTCTCACGTTTGTGTGAGTCTGGTATTAGCGCAAGACAGTCTACTAGAGGCATTGTGATTTCAAGGTCCTTCAAATGTTTTTCAAAGAGAGCTTCATACTTCTTTATTAGTTGCTTCTTGAATCTCCCTGGAAATGGTAGTAAAGGCTTGTAGGGTGGAGGAACAAAGACTTTATCCTTGGTTTTAGTAGCGGCATGCTTTTTAAGAGAAGGAGGTACTACTTGAGCTTGGGATCGAGTACTACGATCGAGTATAGGCTCCTCTATTGCTATTTCAGCTGAAACTTCATTCTGAACGAAAACCTCCCCTTCTTGAACTTCACTGTCCCTAGTGATAGAGGTAAAGGCATGTCGATTTGGGAGCTCTCGATCATGGCAGATAGTGATGGCGTGAGCAGTGGCATACTCCTTAGGGTTCTGGATTGCTTTCCCTGGAAGCTGGCCTGGGATGTTGGTAATAGATGGTGAAGTGGGGATGCCTTCCAGATATCGTATCCTAGTGCTCAAAGATTCATACTTGCTGTTAAGTTCGACAAAGTGTCGGTCAACTTTGTTGTCTCATTCAGCAAACTTCTGAGTGATTTCCATTGCTCTTGTGGCTTGGCCTTGAATTATCTGCAGAAGCATGGTCTTCATGTTTGAATCCTGAGGTGCAGCTGCTTGATGTTGCTGTAAATTAGAAACCAGGTGGTGGCTGTTGTTGTTGATAACCTCCCTGGAACTGCTGCTTTGGAACAAACCCCTGACCTTGGTTGTAAGGAACAAACAGTTTGGGTTGTTGTTGTGGTTGCTGCTGTGGATAGACTTGGTCTTGTGGATAGGCTACATTGGTGCTTCTATACGAGAGATTCGGGTTGGGTCTGTAATTGTTGTACTCTTTTTTGTAGATACCTTGGAGGAGTATGTCTAATTTTTTCATTGAGAGCTTTAATCTCTCTATGGTGCTTGTCTTCAGAGTCAGAGCTGGTGCGGATGCCTTTGTCATAATCTTCATTGTAATTGCCATCCGACTGAGCCAAGTTTTCAACTAGCTCCCATCCTTCTTCAACATCCTTGTTGAGAAGGTTCCCATTTGAAGTAACATCAAGGAGCATCCTTATCTTAGGCAGGACGCCTCTGTGCTGAGAAGAGAAGCCTGCTTAAATCCGTGATGAGGACATTTGGTTTGATAACCCTTGAGGCGCTCCCAAGCTTCATAGAAGGTTTTAGTTTGCTTCTAACTGAATCCGGATATCTCATTCCGGAGTTTTGCAGTTCTGGAGTTGGAGAAGAATTTAGCCAAGAAGGCTTTCTTGCAATAATCCCAGGTTGTGATTGAATTCTGGGGTAACGTCTTTTCCCACAGATGGGCTTTATCTCCAAGTGAGAAGATAAACAAGCGAAGCTTGAAACCATCTTCACTAACTCCATTGATTTTAGTAAGGCTACAGAGCCTTTCAAACTCGTCTAGATGATCAAGCGGATCCTCCATTAGCAAGCCATGAAATTTGTTCCCCTGAACCAGTGTAGTAAGACCACTCTTGAACCCAAAGTTGTTGTTATGTACTGGAGGTGGAACAATGCCATGACGCTGGTGGTGGTTGTATGGGAAGTCACCAGCACCAATGTTGTTAGGTTGCATTTGCTCATCTAGAACGTCAGCCATTGTGTCTGTTATTATCTGTTCTCTCAATTGGCGAGCAATACGATCGATGTTATCGTTGAATAGGATGTTCTGATTCCCTTGTGACCGTGTATGCATGCAACAAGTAGCAACCTGGCTATAACAGACGATTAAAGTTGGTTGCTAAGTACCTGAAATACAGAGTTTGAAAATACACAATGTTAGTATCTCTTATAACAAAAACGAACTTGATCTTAACAATTCTGAAATCTCAAATATAGCAAACAAACACTCAATTGGCAACGGCGCCAAATTGATAATAGGATTTTAAGATCAATTAATCCTCAAGCACTATCACGTCGTTGTAGTATTGAAATGTGTCAATCCAAATGGGTGTGATGCAAACAGATGAGATATGATCAGAAGTTGCTAAGTCAAGCCAAGCAGAATTTGGTTGATTTTCTAACAGTCCTAGTGTTGATGCAGAAAATAGTAAAAGTCACAAAAATGACTGATATACTCGATCGCAAGGTCGACTGCTAGAAGGGACCCTGTCATCGAGTACAACCGGATGAAAGAGAGTGCAGAAATGGACCAGTTTACTCTATCACACAGTCTCACTATCAATACCACGGTGTGATCGAGTAGAATGGTTGAAAAGAGGAAAACACTAAAATTCAATAGCAAGTGGATGAAGTAGGTAAGTAGACAGAGAATTCACTTGGATGAGAAATTCCTAAGGAGGGGTAATCGAATAGTGTGGTCTCCCTAATCAACTCAGTTGGTTATCAAATCTCAATGAAGTTATCCCTAGAAAACAGGTTCAACAACAAATTAATTCACTCCCGTGATATAAATCCTCAGGCATACCTAGACATTGACCTAATTCCCATTAGCGGTCTCTAACTAAGCAGGAAATAAGAACCGACAATTAAAGCCAATAACCGCTCTAAACGGCCAATCCCTTGGGATAGAGACGATTATCACTGGAATTAGTAGATCTAACGTTCCATTAAATGCCTTCTCAGCGCTGGAACTTCTAGGATCGAATTCTAGTTGATCAAAAAGGAATAAGCAGTAAACATAACTAATCCAGAAGAGATTCAATAAATCTACACTTAACTAACAGATTCGACCAAGGGTTCCACAACTACTCTATCCCATCATTAGAAATCCTAATCACTACTCAGGCAATATGCTTAAAGACAATAACATAGAAACGATTGAAGATTGCATACTTAAAAGATTAGAGGAAATGAAACAGAAATGAACAAGCAAATGAAGGCAAAATCTGAATAACTTAGAAGAAAAATTGAAATATAAAGTTGAAGGAATGAAAAAGCGGCTGCTGAATAAGTTGTAGAAATCTTTGTAAAAAGTCTGTGTAAGTCTCAATGTCTTACGGCAAAATTCTTAGAGACTTATTTATACTAAAAACGATAAGGATAAGGAAGTGGGCTGCCATGGACGATGTGATCAAGAGTGTCGGCTCAAAGCAGGCTTCCTAATGAGCTTCGAAGTGGGCTTCGAATGGGCTTCGAATGGGCCTTCTCTTCTCTTCTATTTTCGTTTCTCAGGTTGTCTGGTTAAGTGCGGATTGATCAGAGGGTCGAGGTGGTGGTCGAGTAAGTTGGTTGACAGAATGGTCTAGGCTGCTTCTTGGCCTCTTTGATCGAGTATATTGGTCAGCTGTCACGATGGACTGGTTCATCTCCTCTCCGATCGGGTATACTGGTGGACTCACAAAGTGGACTGCTTGGTCGTCTCTGCTATCGAGTAGAATTGTCAGGATGGACTCCTTCAGCTCTATGATCGAGTAGAACTGCAGAATGGACTGCCTCCTCTCCTCTTCCATCGAGTATATCTGGCAGAATGGACTGCTTGGTCCCCTCTACGATCGAGTAGAAGTGTGTTGATGGACTGCTGAGCTGATTGCTTCCCACTCTGCTACTGGTGATCGAGTATGTTGGTGGAAATGTGACTTTCTGTTCTGTTTTTCCTCTTTCTAAGCACCAATAGCTCCAAAGTACCTTACACAACTCCAGAATACAGAATATATGCAAGACTAGTCATACACTCGACTAAAGATGCAAAATGTACAAAAATGATGATGAATGCTATGAAAGATGGATCAAACTAGACTAAAAATGGTGATAAAAGGATGTGTAAAACATACAAATTATAGACATATCAGCGACCAATTCTAGCAAATGAAGGAAAAGCTTGTCAAGATCAGCAACGCCCTTCTTAACCAACAAGACGATATCCAAGACCACAACACAAGAATCATCAGTGTCGAATTTGCCATTGATTCGGTTGAAGGTCATCTAGATTGGAAGATTGAAGAACTAGAGAAGAAGCTCACTAACTCAAACGAGTTTTCGGAGTGGAGAAGTAACCAATCTTACCAAGAAGAAGAACATTTTCCCAAGGCCCAAGCCCGATACTAGGTGGAAACAAAAAAGGAAATTGGATTCCTAGTGAAAAAGGGAAAGATCTATGTTGCTATTCCGAAAAAGGAAATCTTGACCCTATAAAAACTCTAGGGATTTCGATCCCTAATGTTTCTCAACAAGATCAAATCAAAGAAGGATATCACTTAGAAGAAGAAGCAGCGGCACGCCTAGAAGAAAATTCAATGGCCGAGACTTATTCTTGAAGTGAGAGCTACGAAACTCAAGAAGACTATTCTCACTTCGAGAATTTGGAGAATTGGATTGAAGACTGTTCAAGAGGGGATGATGAACTCAGCGACCATTCTAAAGAAGAGGAGGATTATGAAGAGTTCAAAGACACCTACTCTTGCATGACAACTAGACTCCTCGATGAAGATACTCCCTGAAACCCTAGTTTCAAGGCAACTATGAAACTGTGCTACCTAAGGCCATCTCCAATGGTGAGAGCCCATGGATGGGCTCTCACCATTTTTTAAGAATAAATTATGTGAATTTGTTAGATTAGAACTTATGTTCAAAAAAAATAAAAAATCATAGTCCAATGGTAGTTTCTCTTAATAGGGTTCTCATGAAAATATAAAATTGTTTAATTTCATAAAACTCAATCAAAAGAAACTATGATCAATAAGGAAGTTGGTAATGTACATATGAATAAGATTGTTCTAAAAGGTTTAAAGTACCCATTACATTATTTGAAATCTTCTACAAAATTGAGTTTCGAGTGGTAATGTGGAAATAATAACCAGGAGAAATGTTTGAATGTGGTTTCATATATATCTTGCTTTTCACTTTGAAAATTTGTATTTAAGTTTTATTGAAACAATTGATCAAATTTCTGTGCTTTTGAAGGAACCCATTTTTTCCTTTTTTGATAAAAACAAAATCCAATGCTAAGAACATTTTCCTCCATCTAGCGATGATAATCTTAGAAGAAATTTGTCTAACATGAGAGACTGAGACCATATATTCACAATTCCTTACCATGTGAAAGCAAGTAAATAAAGAGGAATGAGATAGGAGAGAATAGAAATGCAGTAAAAACAAGAATAAATGTTGTTTGTGTCTTTGTTAAACAAGAAGAAGAAGTTTTGTTTAGAAACAAGATGTATAATCATTCAATATATGGTTCTGTTTGGTACAAGACATTCAAAACGAAGTATAATTTAATATAGTTAGTATAGTACAAGACATTTTGCACAAAGCTATATAGCAAGATTCACGAGAGTGAAGAATGAAGATACAAATTATACATGTTAATGCTTGTGTCCAGTTAAGCAGTGGAAGAAACACTGATACTCAGAGATAAGACTTACTTCAACTACACTGTTTCGGTCACCCCCAACTTTTGAAGCAACCATAACCAAAGTTGGATCAACATCATTCCCTCCATCTCTATAAATATAATCATGAGAGCTATGATCAAGTAGATTTACTATGGGGATTGAGTTGGTGAGATCCTATAATAATTTACCAAAGGCATGTCAGATATTTAATATCATTCTCCCATCTTCTTAAGCCACATAGAAACTAAGCCACAAATGTTTAACCAGATAAACACTTCATAACACTATTAGCACCAAGAAATGTGAAAAAGATCATAATTAAGCAGCCATATACATATATATTTGGGCAACACTCAAAACGCAATTTATCAAGTTGTAGAAAAAGAAACAAAGGCCAAACACATATAAACAAGACCTTCTGAAGCTAGAAGCCACAAATGTTCGAAAAGAGAAAAACAATTACCAATAGAAACGTGAAGATTATATCTTAATCAAGCATGTTCTAGTACGAGAAACACATAAAAATAGATGATAAGTAGGTTTTTACGCCTACTTATGTGCTGAAGTGAGGTTCAGTTCAATTCTCCTTAAACACTAACATGTCGATGCAACTATAGGGGGTGTCAATCCAGTCCACTGTTATTGCTAGCAGTCAAGATGTATACAGAAGCAACTAAGCCAAGCCAGATTATAATGATGGTGGGTTTCTAGTAACAATCCTAAATCAAGATTCAAACAACAAAAATGAGAACTTTTAAGTGCCCTACTCGATCACAGGGTCGAGCAGAACCATACATGCAACAAATTTAAGTACTGAAATGCAATAAAAGGTAACTCAACAAGATGACACAAATAGCAGGTGAATAGAAGTGCAATCAGGGGGTGAATACAAATAAATCTAAGAAGA